AAACAAAGTCAGCGTTTGGCGGTAGAAGACTTTAGTTTCACTATGAGGATCTCGATGTCATTTCAATATGTTAAAGATATGGAAATGATGTCGGTATCTGGTCAGACGAAGATGTCAGGCTTGCAGTAGATGGGTATCTTGAACCAGTAGGACATTGACACCGTGTTCTCTGCGCATATTAGAAAGTAGATCTTCTTTATTTGCCGATAAACTTTCAATATTAATTGAAGTAGTCGTCAAAAATAGCCTTGACAAAGACCAGATTTTGATTGGAGTTTGCATCTGTGTTGGTGCACCGTGATAAAAGGATTAGCCGACATTACTCGTTTCCAGAAGACGCCCGATTGCTTTCACATGTGATCGCAATCTCCGTGTAGGCTCCTTTTATGTCCCCCAATACTTAGACTAACAGAGTACTTAGCAGTTGGCTTCAACGATAGAGATGACACAGGTGAAGTCTTCCTGGATGTAAGCAAAGCTTTCGATAAAGTCTGGCATAAAGGACTCATATTATATAAAATGAGAGGCTATGTATATAGTGAGACAATGACGAGACTAATCTTTTTATACTTGGGCAACTGTAGCTTCATAGTTCGCATAGGACAAGTTCAGTCTAAATTCTAAACCCCAGAGGCTCAAGTACCACAGAAAGAGATCCTGTCACTACTACTGTATACAATATATATCGCCAATGTTCCAAAAACACCTGAAACTCCACTAAGTATTTATGCTAAAGAGACAGCGATATCGGCCAAACATAAAAATGTAGACATTGCAGTAAACAACTTTCAAACAACGTTAGACAATATTTAAGAAAGGAGCATACAATGGAAATTCGACATAAATGCAAGCGATGCTCTTTAAAATGAGATATCAATATACAGAGGAACAACTGACAATGCAAAACAATTTTATCGAATGGAAAAGTCATGCTAAATGCCTGGATGTCTTAATGGATAACTAACTTTTCAAAAATATATAGACGCAACAATACAAATCGAAAATGGAGCAAAAGTGTCAATAAAAGTACTCACAGGTTAAAAAAACAAATTAAGAATAAAAATAAAGATAAGCATTATGACATGCTAAAAGTATTTAGCAGATTTTAATAAACATTTGCACACTATTAAGTTTTTTGAGAACATGCACCCGTTGCCTTGACCTACATATATTTTAAATTAATTACATATTTATAGATTTTTATGTACTGTATTAAAACAAAAGAGAAATCTTCAAAAATCATGGATGAAGGTAAAAAAGTACTTTTAATTCAGCATATTAATAACATATTTATTGGTTTTTTATTTTCGCCATGGTATTAATTTATCATACTAGTTCCAAATATAGAAGCACAAATGTCAGAAAATCAAATAATTTATTTAGCACATAGCCCAGCTTCGCTATATCTCAATACGTTAATTGAGACACTGATGGAAGTAAATTTGATTTAGCTTCTGCCGATACAACACAATTCTGTATAATGTTCAAACTCGTAAAAACATATAAAATATATAAATATTGTTTCTTATATAATAATTATTTTTTATATAATTGTACATAAAATATATTTAGTTCTTGACCTCAAATTATTATAATTTATATTTATATATAATTTAAATATAATATTAAATCAAATGTTCACTTAATCATATTTTGTATATTTGTACCTTTATTGATGTAACACATTTAAGGCATCGAGTTAGAATCTATAGAGAGGGCATCACGTGACTAAAAACGACCTCACTTCGGCCATATTGTTAATATTGTTTTGACACTTTTAACAAATCGTATATGTTTGTTTACGTTTGTTGTTTTTCGAATATTTTTAGTTTTATAATACTTTTATAGAAACTGTAATAATATATTGTGATAGTGCATAATAATGGTTTCATGTTCTCAACGTAGTTGCAGTAGCAGAAGCAATGTTAATAAAAAATAAAAAATCAGAAATGAGTCGAAGTACGTTATGGAAACTTTTAAAAGAAATAGGCTTCCGTTGGAAAAAGAATCCCAGAAAGTCTATTTTATTAGAAAGAAGCGATATTGTCATATGAAGAAGACATTTTCTAAGAACCATAAAGGAAATGAGAAACCAAAAAAGAAAAATATTTTATCTTGATGAAACATGGATCAACGAGGGTCATACACCAAATAAATTTTGGCAGGATGAAACTGTTACAAGTCAAAGGCACGCTTTTGTAAATAACTTATCTACTGGTTTAAACCCACCATCAGGAAAGGGGCGCAGGCTGATAATAGTACACATTGGCAGTTCAGACGGTTTTGTTGAAGGTGGTTTATTAACTTTTGAATCAACTCGTACCGGTGACTACCATGAAGACATGAACGCTGATGTCTTTCAAGAATGGTTCGAACAAATCATAGATCTTCTTCCTAAGAACTGTGTGATAGTAATAGATAATGCAAGTTATCACTAAAGACTTATAGAAGGACTGCCCACAACCAAGTGGTTAAAAAAAGACTTGCAGAATTGGCTGAGTTCAAAAAATATTACGTACCATCCCGGATCTATAAGAAAGAAACTTTATTCGTTGTGTGCCCTTCATAAAGAAAAATTTAAAAAATACGAAATTGATGAAATTACCAAAAATCATGGAATGACAGTACTTAGATCCCCACCATATCATTGTGAATTAAACCCGATTGAACTGGTATGGGCACAGATAAAGAGTGAAGTTTCAAGAAAAAATACCACTTTTAAAATTCATGATGTCGTAAATATTGTAAAACCTGAAAACTGGGAAAAGGCAGTAAATCACACTATTAAAGAAGAGGAAAAAATGTGGAAGTCGGACAATATTACTGATAAAATGATCGAGTCAGTTATTATAAATCTTGGTTCTGAAAGTTCATCTTCTGAATCTGATTTGGATTTGTAACAAGTAGCTGTAAGTTTTATATTAATATTTTTATTCGTCTATTTAACATACCTTAGACGGTTTTAAAAACTCTTTCTCTCTTTTGTAATTTTAAAAATTTAAAAAAATTTGAATTTTTTAAAACCCTTTTTAATGTAGGCCAGTCAGTTCTAATATAGTGTAAACATACCACTTTATAACACTGAAATAATTCATTTATTTTTTACAATTATTCAAAGTAATTTTTCAATTAATCTTGAGCACGCCCATGGAGTGGTCGGAGATACCAGTTAAAATTATGCTAATTACTCTCTCGTTCATAAAAATAAACTATAGTATACAAATATGTAAACAAAGTAATGGCCCGTACTTCACAGAACAAATTAATAGTATTTGACTGTATTAATTTATCTTTATATATAATATATCGTGTTTTTGGTGTTTACCGCGGGATAAATAAATGATAGTTTATTAAAAATGCATTGCACTTTTTTAGATTATGATTAAATCTTCTAAATAACTAGTCATATTTTTATAGTAGTTTTAATATTATTGAGTCCGGCCATGATCCCACCGCCATATTGGTATTATCGTTAGAAACACCTACCTAGCCACACCAAAAACTCGCTGTTTTTAATACACACGTTAATATGCTCATAGCTTCTCCATAGATTCTAACTCGATGATTTAAGGGCATAGATAAATAATGTAATATTAAAAATAGATAGGCAACTCAATGTATAAAATTCGTTTATTAGGATCCCTTGCGGCTAGGGTCATTACTAATCATCTTTTGGCTGGCAATTCAAATGTCTTGCGGGTTATTTGCCCACATATATTAATACAAAATAAAAGAATATATATAAAATGCACACATTTTTTATAGATATACGTATATTATTATAAACCTTTATTTCTGGATTTAGGTATTAGGCCACTACCTTCACTCTATATTTATAACACGCTGATTGAAATTCATGCCAACAAAGGTAAGTTTAACGTAAACTCCAACGTCCATGATCACGATACAAGATCTAGAGATGCTATTAGAGCACAACGTTTTAGGTTGACAAAGAGCGTAAAAAATTCGACTGACGTTAGTTTGTATAACTGTTTGCCAGATGAAGTAAAAAGTCTTGACTTGTTATCATTTAAGCATAAAATCAAATCACACTTTTTGAAACATTGTTTCTATTCAAAAACGGAGTACTTAAGTACAGCTTTTACACAATAGTACTAGTTTGGTCAGGGCAGTTGCCTATTATAATTATATTTCATGTTTTTTTTTTATAATTCCACAAAGTGTGTTTGTCGTTTTTTTTTAACTGTTAATATTAAATACATACATGTTTGTAATGTTTAAATTATCCAAAAAAAATTTTATATGTTTTATAAGTATTGTCACTATTCCTTTGACTTGTCAAAAACAAAACTATTTTTGTATATTTGATTAAATAAATTCTATTCTATTCTATTTATTTGTTGTTTAAGATTAAACAGTTATAAATTAATTACATAATATTTATTATACATATTTTCAGAAACAAATGTTAAATACTATTATTGTTTGCTTTTTGTCAACTTACTATTTGACAACATCATTATTTTTGTAATTTTTTCCATGATTTGTACACAACGGAACAATACAATAATTCACCATGTATAGTTTTTTTACTAGCACAGCACAAAAAGTCTTTGCTACAATAGGTAACTCAAATTAAACTTTAAAAACTAAGTAACCAACTTAAATTAAAATTACTAAGAATAAATGCAAACGAAAGTTAAAGATAATAAAATAAAATTGAAAACTTGTAAACAAACGGAATCTGTATCATTACTTTTGACAGAATTGACATTGCGGAATTAACCTTCCTTGACACGGACACCATACTTCAGAATATGCATCAAGGGAGCCACGGTAGATGTGGCGAAGAAAGCTATCTTAGAAGTGGCGTTACTAATAGAAGTGTAATACTTCTCTGAGTTGGCTGAGGATGGCTATAAAATCGACGGTAATGTCTAAGACGAAAGAAGGAGCACATATTTCGCAATATATATAATTATGACAATAATTTGTAGTTTTTTGTTTATATTTTACTAATGTAGACTAATTTGTTTCAGGTCTTCCTTGTCATCGCGTACTTACATCCGACAAAGATAACCTCACTTTGGTTTTCAACGAAATGCAGCGATTAGAAGACGAAGACGACGCACAAATCGACCAATCGGAGTACTCGGACTACAAGCAATTTACAAGCGATTATACCGATGATGACGAAAGGTTTTTTCCGTTTCAAAAGTTTAAGTACAAAACCAACTGCTGCTACGGTTTATCCATGGACTTACTCGAGAATGTTGCTCAAGAATTAGAATTCGATTTTAGGTTGTACATAGTCGCCGATGGACTTTTTGGTTCAAGAATTGTAAAAAGGAAAGGCAAAAGGAGTGAGAGGGATGTGGGGAAGAAATTTTTAAGTTATAGGTAAGTTATTGTTTAGTTTTATATAACTAATTATTATAAACTTTTTCCATTTTTATTTCTTAAGATTTTCCGTATATGATATTTCTTTTTTATTTCTAATAAGTATTGCTGAGTTTGTCAGTATTTCTTATGCACGCCATACACACTACGGTTCACCGGAGAGGTCTACCTGTGCAGGCATGCCTGCGCAGGTCTCTTGTGTGTGAAGTATTTCAGGTTAGTTGTTGTTTTACATAATAAAACTATAGTCGCTACCTACATCTACTGAGTTGATAATGATACTGAGTCTGTGTTGGTTATAACATAGTCTATCATAGATGTTTGTACACGGGTGTTAATAAATGTATATTTGTGTTGGTCTTTGTGGTCAAAAAATGTGTTGTTTATTCTAAGTCCGTTATTCGTGCAGAAGTTGATCATCAGGTCTCCATTTTCGTTTTTAACACCCTCCTTATGTTCTTGCTTCATTTCTGGGATAACCTGATTCCTATTCGAGCGTTAAAAACCTTAAATATTATCATCTTCCCTCTAAATTGTTTATTTGTCTATTAGAGTGGAGCCGTCACTATTTTGGTTTGCAGGCCAGGCGATGCCGGCTGGGTGGCTACGCTTATCACACAACCAAACCCCCGTCATCCGAAAACCGGCCTTCTCCTCTTAGTCTGTTCCTTCGGTTCCGATCCGGAAAGTAACAAGCCAACAGCATATGGTCCTTTATGGCCCGATGGTTGGCTAGCTAATATCGAGAGAGATCCACCACCCTCCTGCATTTACTAACTTTGCCAAGCCAAAGTCGAAAGCAATAGGTATATAAATATATAAAAGTGTAAAAACATTTAATAAAAAATTGGACATTTACAAACATAAAATAACAAAAACAAACATTTATGCAGGTGAAATAGATAAAAACCTAACTAGACAAGCGTAGACCCCTCGATAGGAAGAGCGGTACTTACACTCGAAGTAAAATTGCCATAAATTACCTATGTATGAACCTCACAAATTTACTATGAATATGAATACTACCCTGAAATGCCTTTGTAATAAAATTGTGAACATCGAACCTCGATAGGTTAAAAAATCTCAGAACACGTGAATTCGACTGACACCATGTTCAGCGAGCTCCAACGATTAGAGCTGCTATGCAAATGGTTTTCTCAGGTTATCGGGTTTGTATGGTCTGAAGGTCTGAAGGAAGCACCGTTTTATTGGCGGGGGCTATAATTTCAGGACCGTTCCAGCTAACGATAACGTTCAGGACAATTACTCGCTCATACTGTTGCGCGAAAAGGTTGGGTATCTTAAGAGTTTCCTCGGTGCATCTTATTCTTGGCTCTGTCTCGCAAATCCACCCTTTTTTCTAAACTGCTATTCGAAGATACGTAACAAGCTGATCATGTCTCTTTATTCGGTACCAGTGTACTTCGGGGTACTTTTGTAGTACGTGACTAAGACTCTCGTTACGTTCGCATATCTTTCGGCACCTACGCTCATGTGGTGGATTTGAAGGGATGTTTCTAGTTGAAAGTAGATTTCCTCGCAGTTGTATTGCCTTTAAAATCTTTCCCCGATCAGTAGGGCGGTGGATTGCTTATTTAGTCAGAGCTTTCGAAGTCTGTTGTCGCTATAGCCGTCCTCAAGTTTCTGGCTCAACTCAATTGCGATCGATGCTGAACTGCCAGACGATATTTGAATCCATTCTAGAACCTTCTCCGTGAGACCTCTCCAGAGACGTGACATATATGGTAGACTGAGGGTCAACAACGTAGTATCAGTTGCTGAGCTGATCAATTTTGTCAGTCTCCTTCTCATGATAACCGAAGCGTGCATGATCATGGCCATGACGTCCAGACCGCCCTCTTTAGTGGAGCGTGGATGTAGGCATCGGCACACGTTCGATTAAGGAACACAATCTTTCGAACGGCTATACATACAGACCTGTCAACGCCCTTCAGCCTTTTCATCGTTGTTTTTACTCTTCTTTTTCTTTACGTGTAAACTCTTTTAAGAGGGTTGGCAACCATCATAACAATTCGCACTTTCGACGCCGCTGCTTTAAAGAGGTCAGCAGAAGTGCAGTTAAACCAAGCTCTTAAATTATTCAACCAGGGGATGCGTTTTCTTCCACGACTACTTCTAGCTGTATTCTTCCTTGCATTATTAATTGCAATAAGCTATAACGCTCGCCCCTCATGTCCCAGATATTGCAGTTTTCTGATTTTAACGTATTTAAGACCTCTTATCTTTTCCCATTCTTCTCAACACCTCGACATTCGTGATTGTATATACCCAGCTTACTCTTAATATTCTTCCGTAGGCCCATAACTCGAAGGCTTTCAATCTGTCCGAAATATATTTCTTTAAAGTCCAAGCCTCTAACCCATAAAATAATACGAAGAACACGTAGCATCTCAGACGTCTTCTCTTTAAAGAAATTGAAATATCCCTGCTGCAGAGTACTTTTTCAGTTTGTTGAAAGAATTTCTTGCCTGCCCTTTTCTTACCTTAATCTCTTCTGTGTACTCATTATTTTCATTAATTATTGTACCCAGATATTTATATTTTTCAACTTTTTTAATATGTTCTCCATGTATTGTTATGTTTTCTTGGCGCTGTTGGGCTTTTGTAATTACCATAAATTGTGTCTTTTTTGTATTTAGGGACAGTTCTTTTTCTTCACTGACTTCTACCACTTTGTGGGACTCTGGAACTTGTCAATATATCTCGGTAGCAGGTATGTTTTAAGTATCAGCAGTTTTTGTGCTGGTTTAAGCCGCGCTCGTTAAACACGATCGAGCTGTCTCTACAGCATTGTACCTTCGGCCTAGGTATCCAACCAGCTCACTCTGTTGCAGCTGCCGAATCCTGTTGTTGCCGACAGAGAAGAGCGAACGCGTCACGCAGTAAGAGTGCTTATTACCACGGTTAACATTAATCGTAATAGCTGCACTTTTACCAGCGTTAATCGTCATTCCTCTCTTCTCGAAGAAATTAACGGCTGTCCGTATTGTTAAGTATTAGTATTGTATTCCCGCCAATCACCCCATGGCGGATGCGGTATATCAGATATTTGTTCTCTTATTCCAATAACCACTTTTTGGGGCTATTATTGTTTTGTTCTCCTGGCTTTCATCTTATTAAGTATACATTGTACGCTTATTCTCTACATAATATGTTATACTAACGCACATTATAAATCCACGACCTTTAAAAATGGCAATTGTAGTAGTAAAACCCCAATTAATAACGTAAAAAAGCCAATAAATCACAATGATTAACATACCGGTTGAAACGTTCTGACAAGATAGATAAATTAACTTTTTCGTTTTTCTTTTTTGGATTTAACGTAATAACTCAACCCTAATGACGCTTGGACGCTCCGGAACGAAACTCACTACAATAAAAATCTTCCTCATATTTCCTGCGTATCCTGACGACTCTTTTGACTTTAATATCTCTCAGTAGAGCTCTCGTTTTTCTTGTTGTCGTTTTTATTGAATGCTCTTTCTTTTCAAAAGCGCGTTTAATAAAATCAGACTGATCTTCAAATGTAAGTCGCGTGTGGTGTTTGCTTACGTAAAAGGTTCGAGATGTCTGTTATTAACTCAGTTATCTACATAATATATTCCAAGTACAACTAAGGAAGTTCATATCAAAATTATAGAAAATCAAGAGACTGGCATTAGCTGTAGTTATTTAAAAGATATTACCTATATTAATTTACAAACCTCTAAACTAGGTTACTATTTTTGTTTAAATTCGAATCCTATATTAATCTATATTAAATAGCTAATATGCATACAAGAATTATACAAAAAGTAAATGTAAAATTTAATTAAATAAGTGAAAAATTAAAAATGGAAAACTAACTGAAAAGGATACTTCTTCTTTTTACGGTGCCTATCCGTTCTGGATGTTGGCGATCAGCATAGCTATCCTAAATTTACTCGCAGCTATTCAGAATAGTCTGGTTGTAGATGTGTTGAATCACTTCCTTAGTTTTAAAACCCAGCTATTCTTCTTCCTGGTCCTCTCTTTCCAAATACCTTGCCATGAAGAATGAGTTGCAATAAGCCATATCTCTGTTCTTCATTTCTCATAAGTTGGCCAAGCTTTACGATCTCTGATTGTGTTCGTGATCTCGCATTCCTTCCTTATTCTAACACCACATCTCGAAGATCTCGAATTTTTCTAAAGAAAACGAAGTACTACATTCTATAACTCTGTCTATTCAGGAAATCCGTAACATGCGTCTATAGCACCACATCTCAAATGCTTCGAGTCTCTTCAGTGATGCTTCAGTTAAGGTCCATGACTTCTTCTTCTTTATGTGCCGTCTTCTACCGAAGGTTGGCGACCATCATACGATAGGTTTCTCTGTTTTGTGCCGCATGAATTATGTTCGCAGCTTCTGGTATTTGAAACCATTCTCTCAAGTTTCTCAGCCAGGATTTCTTCTTTCTGCCCAAACCTCTTCTACCTTCAATCTTGCCTTCCACGATAAGCTGTAGCAGACTGTACTTATCATTACGGAACACATGGCCCAGGTATGACGCTTTCCTCCTTTTAACAGTTGTTAACAATTCCACCTCTTTACCCATTCGTCTTAATACCTCTGTGTTGGTCACTCTGTCTGTCCAAGGTATTCTCAGTATGCGTCGATACAGCCACATTTCTAGAGCCGCTAACTTCTTTATAGTTGCTGCTGTTAACGTCCACCCTTCTACGCCGTAAAGTAGCGTAGAGAGTACGTAGCATTTCGTGGCGCGCCATCGGAGGTTAATGCTTAGGTTGCGGTTGCTTAAGAGCTTTCTCATTTTGATGAATTTGGATCTTGCTATTTCAATTCGGATCTTAATCTCTACTTCTGGGTCCCACTTGTCATTTACTGTATATCCCAGATATTTAAATCGGTGTACTCTTTCAATACGTTCGTCTTCAATATGCAGGTCGATATGTTGAATTTTTTTTTACTGATCACCATAAATTTAGTTTTCTTT